GGACCTGACCGATGCCTTTAAGCATGTACCACGAGATATACACATCTGTGGCCCATCCAATGATGGTTCGGTCCCTCTAAAAGCTACCGGACCAGCACAATTAAATTCGGGTCAACCTTTGTATCTTGGAGCATGAAGGCATGCGTTGAAGCCTGGTTTTGAATGTCATTTTTTTTTTCATTTTTCAATCAAAGAATCAACCCTTTGGATATTGAATGTAAACCCCCCGTCTAAAAAAAAGGGTAGCAGTTTTGATGTGAGAAGGGAGAGATTTTCAAATTTTCAATTATAGGGTTTATGTGTTTTTTAGTTAAAATGTTGTTTTGTTGAATTGTTAGTTGATCAGCATATTAATGATGAGAGTAAAAGGAAAAACTTAGACAAAAATCATAAATAATTGTGCTCTTGTGGTTGGCCACGGGGGAAATTAGGGAAATAAAAATTTGTTTTTATTCCATGATATTATATGTTTATTAGATTTTTTGGTGTGAGTAATTGTGTGTAGGAAATATTTCTAGGGGAAGTTGTAAATGTGAAATTTTATGTGATTATATGATATAGAAATGCTTATGGTTTAACATGGAATTCTTAGAATTTATAAATGAAATAAAATGCTTGATGGAATAGATATCTGGCATGTTGTGATGTATGTGTTGGAAAATAATAGTTATTAAAATTAGGAGATTTAGACAAACTTATATTGTTATACAAAAATACTCTTATGTTATTTGAGTTAAGGATGGTAAATTGATATATGCAGGATGAAATTATGAAAGAAATAAAAATAAATCAATGAATAACTAATATCACCAAGGGCCATCCATAGAAAATATACGAGGGGGAAGGGAATATTATTTTGATGAATTTTCAAATGAAAAGTACTTCAAAAAACAACTTTTACCATTCTCTTAAACACTCCTAAAACCACCCTAAAAACATGATTTTAATAAATCTCCAATCTAATGGATGACGTAGTATCCATAATAGTAGACAATTAGAATTTAAAGTGGCACATGCTATTAGTTTTCCTTAGATGTAGTAGAGTCTATATAGAAATATGGTTGCGGTTGCTTTTTAAAGTGCTTTTCATGCTGAAATACATTAAAATAATTTTTTTTATTTTTTAAAAATTATTTTTGAGATTAGTGCATCAAAAAGATCCAAAATATATGAAAAAATTTGAATTTTTATGGAACGTGATTTGCACCGCATTTGCAAATAATGCTTTGGAGCTGGTTTGGTGACTTGGTACTGTAATAACGGTTGTTTTTTTAAAAAAAACATTGCTTGAAAATATACCAAAATAATATTTTTTTATTTTTTAAATTTATTTTTAACATCAACACGTCTTATGATTAAAAACATAAAAAATTAATTTAAAGTAAAAAAAATTAATTTTTTTATAAATACTTTGCCACCACAAAAATAAACAGGCTCTAGTTAGCTAATGATGATTCTTTAGACCAACCATCATAACAATACTTATAGAAAATGAAAATGACAAAACATATTATGGGACTAGAGAATGCATTTGAGGGACATGTGTACCACCCTAGTTACAAGGTGTGTTATAATAGATTATTCAAATGCATGAAAAAATATTAATCTTTGTGCAATCCACATAATAAAAACTAATTATAGGCAATTGATAGGCCTAGGTTTTTATGCATCTTAGACCAGCCTTATAAATACTTTTAAATGTTTGAATCTGTTTTGGATGCAAGCCTAATATCGATGTGGTTTCCTAAGCATGCTTGGATGCAAACAACTTAAACTAGGCCTATATGACCACTTGCCCTAATTTAAGCTTAAGGTGCCTAGGTAGCCCAACACATGTTAAGGCATACATTAATATTTTAAGTTTGGAGGATTATTGGTGGTCTGATTCATCCAAGACAATATTAATCTCCAAACAAGATGAGATATTGCGTAATCTATGTATCCCTTAAAAGTGTTATGGTGCACCTAAACTCATAACTCTTTAATAAAACCTGGTTTATTCACCACTAACCAAGGAAACAAAACATGTATGTATTAAATATAACCATATCCATTAGACCCATGTTATTCTAATAATTGTTCCAACTCTCGTCATCTATTTAAAGATGGCAATTTCATCATTAATGGATACCAATCTAAATTTACATGAATAAGTATGATGTTTTATAGGTATTTCAAGTTTGATTTAGATTGAAGTGTATATAATAACAATAAATTGCAGATGAATAATGAAAAATGAACCAAAACCGAGATCATTAGCAATTTAGTTTGAGTTATCATTGTTGATATATTCAGCATCTAATCATGCATAAATCATATTTTCACTCTTAATTTTAAATTTGTATTCATCATGGCTTCTCCTCCATGCATTCTTTTCAAATCTCTAAATCTCTAAATGTTTATGTTTATCTCTTTTTTTTTTAAATTTATTTTTAATTTAATTATGATGAGTATTTTTAAAGAATGAGTCTTGGCTTGTTTAAAGTTTAGTTGCAGTATAATGTTAAAATGTTGTTTGTTTCTCTTTAAGTTTTGATATTATTAAGTTTCAGTTCCTAAGAAGAGTTACAATATCAAAAAGTTTAGGAATTATAATTTTACAATAAGATCCTAAATTGAAGAGAATCCATCCTTTTTATTTTTTCTTTTAATTTTCTAGTTTTTTTAATTAGTGTAGTGGGTGTGAAACTATGAAATAGAATCTCAATTTTATTTTTATTTGGTTGATTTTTCATATTATTAAAAATAATTTAGATAGTTATTAAAGATTGTGCGGGGGGATCACAATAGACAACTAGCATAGTCGTTTTATGGAACTTGGATTTCTCCATTATAGAATGGGCTAGGCTCCAATATGGCTAATACATACTTCTCTTTGTATTTCATCAATGTATTTCTTACTTATTATATAGTGAATGTTATAATTAATTATCCATGTTTTGGTAACAAGTATCTAAATACATACATTAAACTCAATCAAGTTGGTTTTGAATATTTAATTACATACCTACCTAGTAATTAATGAGTCAAGTATGAATAGTAGTTTTAATTAATTTGAGTTTGGATATGGAATCCACTGATATTCTTATATGTATCATACATAACCCATATAACTCAAAATGAGAATAACTTTTGCAGTAATCTATTGTAATTATTTGGCCTTTATTCTCAAATAATCTAAAATTATAGATATCAAGCATATTTACCACACTCTGTATTTATATGGACACTTCTTTATGGGTTCAAAACTATATAACTAGTCTAAATACTGCTTTGAACTAAACATTAATTACCTTACAAGATTTTCATCTTCAACCTAAACTGACCACTTAGAAATCAAATTAAGGACAAAACCCAAAAAATAGTATATCTTGCATCTATTCAAATCTATTTCTATCATTTTTTTTCCTGGCCTTCAACAGCCTTGAAAAAATATTCACCAGAAGTTTGCAACAAAACAAATTCGGTGAACGATCTTCATTTCCTTTTTCGGTAGACATTCACAACAAAAGCTAAGCAAACACAAATTTTAGTGTTTAAAAAGCAAATAAACACGCAAATATTCAATAAGAACTCTTAAAATCCTAATTTCCTTTCAATTTTTTTGTTGTGAGCTTTTGGATGTTATTTAAGGTACGTTTACATCCTTTCTAACCTCTATACGAAGGACATCTTGTACTTTGAAAGGCAATCAATATGCCGATTGCTTGGTTAAGATTATTAAATTGAGGTAATTTTTATTTTATAAAGTATAATTAATAAATATATTTTTTATTTTTAAAATCTTTTATTAAGCGGAAACTTTGAACGATATTCCAGATAGCTATTACCTTAAATCACATGCGGAACGCAAACTTGGAGATCGAAGTTGGAGAAAAAGTCCAAATACGTTGACCATGTAGATTGACGTGTCCAGGCGGCCAACGACGTCATCATCTTGCCAAGTTTGAAAAATAAAGCCCACCTCTTTGTCAGATTTTCACGTGGATTTCTCATGCTCCCTCGACAATGGCGATGCCATCACCTCCCATCTCATCAAATCTTCACGCAATCATTTCCGAGGAAAACCAAGATGCTTTCTTATCCCAAAACCATGCTCTCGTTCATCTGGCCAAGAACGATTATCGACGCAACCAAAATAGTCAAAATTTTAATATACTTCATAAACCATTATAAAAGACAACCCAATCAAATTATCAAATACATCCTTGGTATGCTATTACAAATCTATAAGTATTATGGCTGGATTAACAGAACTTTTGAACTCCTTATCAACTAAGTACAAAGTAAACCTTTCGAGGAAAATTAAAATAAAAAATTAGACGAGGACATTAATTAATAAGCAAGCAAATGAGAAACGAGAAGTTATATGATATGATGCTTATAAAATAATCAGTAATATTTTATTAGTTATTAAAATTATCTTGTTATTTTGATGGAGCATATATCTATTTCCCAATCCCCAGCATTACAACTCAAAATTCACAAACCTATCCCTTCCCTTAATGATATATACTAGATTTGTACAAGATTTGAATATATTTATTATGCTCGATCATTAGTTTTTCAGGATTGTCTCGATCCTTGTACTGCCGTAGAACGTGGACTGCAGACACTTTCAGCGGCCAAGTGTCTCAAGATGATGGTGTAATTCTTTGGCACCACCAAGTGGGTGAACAACTGGTCTCTCTGTAAAGAAGCCATTCTAGATTTTTCTCGGCAGAGATATTAAGATTTTTTGTGCATAGTCTATTAACCCATTAGCATTTATTATTTTCTTTTCCTGGCTGATTTCCCACATAGAGCAGCTTGTATAGCAGCGAGAAACTCTCTTCCTTCGCCAGATGCAATAATACTATCATTGCACTTGTGTCCATATTAATACCAAAGACAAGGTTCTTCATTTTCCTTGGTTTGAATTACGCGATTTTGAGTGCGATGAAATCATCACAACTAGACATATGTAAGGGGAGATTTTTAAATTAAAAAAAAGGAAATTGACTAAGACAAAGATTGACATGTTCACCTAAGATTTTGAGCATTTGTACATTGCATTCAGAGATTGTAATTATTGATGTCAATACAACAAGGATCACAGGGCCTAAAGATTTGAAGATAGAACAAGCCATGCATAAAAGACAGCTCCTTACAACCCCACTAGCTAATGATATCACTACTCACTAGAAAAATGCATTTAAAAATCCAGCTCACCACTCCCTTCATGAGCTAAGAGCATCACCATAATTCTGAACATTTTGACGACGACAAGCAGGCGGTTGGTGATATCCTTTTCCCATTGGAAGGTAACTCCCACTAGACTTTGCCACGGGAAATCCAATCCCAGTTGTTGTTGTTGGCCTCTTAGACTGAGCTCTCTCCAGTGACTGCACTTGAGTCTTCAAGAACTTAACATAATGAATTGCCTCATCTAACATAGAGGCAGTGTCCATTTTAGTCCCTCCAGGCACTAGTCTTTGAAGTATCCTTATTCTCTCACTTATCCGTTCTCTTCTATGGCGTGCAGCAACGCTTTGCGGATCTTTTGATATCTTCACGTTCCTACGTTTTGGTGGCTTCACTGATTCTGGGTCTATTTGAATTGGGTGCATGGCTGCAATTCGAAATATCATCTCCCTCATTGTTGCCATTGAATTCTTCTTTTGTGACGGTGTAGCATAATCATTTGCCTCCGGTAATTCACCAAGACCTCTCCATCTTGACGAAGAGGGACTGGGAAAGAAATCTTGCGGGGATTGGTCTTGGATCGGGGTGCTGTTACTATTAGAAGATAAAGTGGATTGTAGGGTCATAAATGGAGGTGAGCTAGCATTGCGTGGGTTATCAGTGTTGAAATGCGAGATGGAGATATTACTTGCACTTGCAGCAAGAAACTCTGTTGGGGGTAAATGACTAGCAACATCGTTATAGGAATCGTAGAACTCGGGAAGCTTTTCCATCAGCTTCATCATTTCCATCTGATCTTCTGTTGCAGACCTTAACTGATCACTTTCCATGGCTTATATATTTTTCAGCACTCTCTTTCTTACAAAAGAGAGAGTGTTTGAGGGAGAGAAAAAAGGGGTGAGAAGTTAAGTGAGAAACGAAACTGAAAGACAGAGGGATGGGAAAGATAGAGGAGAAGCGGGTGTAGACAGACTAAGAGTTGCATCAAAATTTGCAGAGGAGAAAGAAGAGAAGTAAAAGAGCATGGAAAGGAAATAAAAGTGAAAAATGAATAAATAAGAAAATCCCCGACAGAGAAGAACTGTTGGGGTCTCTGTTCTGAATTGTCAAAACTTTGCCTCAATATTCACCTTCTCTGCAGCAACCCTAAACCCCACTCACATGACAGGTGTCAGAAATCTCACCAGTCTCCTTTAAATGAGATACTCTTCCTAGTTGGCGGTGAGAATCCAGTGCCGCTGGATGTATTGGTAATGTAAACGGAAGCGCTGGGAGAGACCTACTGCATTATTACTCAACGTGTCGCATAATCCTGATCATGACAGCATCTAACCCCTCAATTAACCTCCTCCTCTCGTAGAAACGGAACGCTCTTCGAGACGGATCAGGTTCTGCTGAACCGCCCCTCTACATGTGCTGGCATTGCCTAAAGAGCTTTCCAAAGAGAGAAGCGCGACTTTAATGGCCGCCCTTTCATCATTACCTTAGCTGCTTTAGATAGATAGAAAAATGCTTTGTTTAATTTGTTTCTTTTCTCTCAGGTGAATCGATCATGTTATAAAATAAATGAATCACAGTACTATGCTATTGATGTACAATCTGCTAAGTAAAATATAACGTCAAAAATAGAATATGGTCTGGTTTTATTTTTTGTAATCAGCAGTCAGGGATTAAAAAAAGAGTAGAGGTAATTTTTTTGTTTAGTATGGTTTTTAACTATAAACAAATTAAATTAAAATTTTATAAAATATAAAAATTAAATTAAAATCAAATTAAAATTAATTTCAGCTAATTAGTTTTGGGTTGGTTATTTTATATCAAAAACAAAAATACAATTAATTGATTTTGGTTATATTTAATTTGATTAGATTTGATTTAATTGTTTTATATTAAAAACTAAAAACTATATTATTTTTTGAGCTTCTTAATAAATTTTGATTTCAGTTTGATTTTATTTTTTTAATTTGATTTGATTCTTTTAGTTTAGTTTATTTTAGTTTTAACTAAACCGGTTTAGTTTAGTTGAGAATTTTTTATTTAAAACTTATAAAACCAAACTCAACCGAATATTTTTTAAAATATTATAATTGTTTTAATCAGTTTTTTTTATGATTTGGTTTTATTTTTTTATTTAATTGATTTACCAGTTTTTTCACCTCTAAATAAAAAACATTAATTTCTATATAATTGGTGAGAATTACTCCATGGAGATAGATAACAAAAAAGTAAAAAAGAGAAAAGAAAGTAAAATTTTATTTTTGTCATCCCTCGTCTTGTTGTTGAAAGATAGCTAAGGTCTCGGTGATTTAGGAAAACAACCTGTGACATTAACTATTGAGAGGCAGCGCTATACCGACATATAATGAAGTTATTATTTGAAGTTTTATAAATTTTAAAATGATTAAAAATTTATATAATTATTAATTTCAAAATTTATAAGTTAAGATATACATATAAAGTAGTTTGAACACCAACATAAATTAATAAAAAGTATTAGATGAAATGTGAATTCATGCAGACAAGCCTGGAGATCGAAGTAGATGAAACCTCTGCTTTTCCACCTTTACGGTTTGTAACAATCAACAATAATAAAACGGAGAGAACAAATTTACTGCTCAGGACAATTTCCTTTCAAATATTTCACGTCCTATTTTTTTTAATTATAATATTATATTTTTAAAGAAAAGAATTTCTCAAAATTTCGATCCCAAATCGTGGCTAACTTTTATGGACCCTGACTTGTACTTGTTTAGAATTGCAGTTCAACCATGATTTTGAGAATTAAAAAAAAAGTTTTAAATTATTTTTTTATATTTTTAGATATTTTAGATATATTAATATTAAAAATAAATTTTTATAAATAAAAAATATTATTTTAGTTTATTTTTAAATAAAAAATAATTTAAAAAATATTATCTACGCTTTCAAACATATCTAAAATATAATGTAGATTTTGATAAAGGGTCTGCGGAGAGTGTTAACGGATAGGGCCATTCAAAAGGACACGGATGATTGTGGTAAGATTCCAAGGAGAAGCCGGCCTACTATCTATGTATATGCTAAAAGAATATAGTGTTTTGCTAGGAGCACAATTGAGATTTTCTCTCCAATTGTGTTTTTACTTTGAGTATTTATTATTTTATACTTAACTAATTTATATTATTTTTTTTTGTTTTTATCTCTTTTCTTTTGTAATTTTTATCTTTTTTTCTTTACATTTTGGTTTTTTCAAAACAAGTTATCGTATAAAAACTAAAAAAATGATGTTTTTATATAGTAATTGTAACAATTTTTATTTTTCTATTATATTAAAAATAAGTTTGAAATATTATATATTTTTATTAAAATATATGATCTTTATTATATTTTATTATATTTAAGTTTTTATTCTCAATTATATTTTTTATCCGCATTCAAAAAACACGTTAATATCTACATATTAATTTATTTGTATTAGATAAAAATGATTTGTTTTCTAGTTTGGTAAGTTAAATAAACATATTAATATTTTTATATTTATTAACAAAGATAATTCTTTATTTTTTTAATTAAATGTATGTACAGACTGTTAGATTTATAATTAAAATTCTTGTTGTTAAAAAAAAGGCATTTAAAAATCTTCCATTTTTCTTTTTTTTGCTGAAAAAATAATCCACCCTACGAGAAAACGCATTTCAAATAACTAGTAGATGACCAAGGGAACTGGGAACGCATCAATGCTCAAACCAGAGATCTCTATCAACTGTATATATTTTTTAATTTCATAAAACATTCGATGAACATAGCCATCCCCATCCTCGAATGGAGCGCAAGTGCTTCATACATTATGAACATCAAACGAGTTTAATTGTGCTGTACATGCACATGTTCATATGGAAAATGCGATCTTCGGATAAACTGTGTTTATATCATATTTTTTTCGGACTAGTCTATGATGCATTGTCCAACAGTAACCCTCCTTCTTCCGGTATCGTATGGGTTTAAAGGAAGAGCTTACAAAATGCGATAGATGGGTTTGATCAGCCTTCATCAGTGGGACAGACGCACAGTTGGGGTTTGCAGAGGTTGGTAGGTTGGCTAGGAAGAGGAGAAGATTAGATTATTAATGAGAGAAGCAGAACAGAAACATATAAATGTTGTTTGGTATTGCCTGCTCTCTTTTCTGCAACACCAACACAAAACACCCTCTCCCATCCACTCCTGCAGATTTTAAAAAACTCTGTCCAGACTCCAGATTGCTGACGCCTACTCTTTCTTATTAAAATACTGAATACTTTAAAGTTCTTATTCGTACAAAAAAATAAATAAATAATTAAATTAGTAATTTCCTTTTTTTATGTCTATCAAGAAGGCATGAATAAAGAGACGTTCTCTGCAAGGAGAGGTTCGATAGGATAAAAGGAATCCTGGGAAGAGAGATTTTGTTGTTGGATTGTTTTTTTTTTCAAAAAAAAAAAACTGGCATTATCACCATTGCCCTACCTTATCTTCTCTTCCCCGCATCCCCATTCAACAATTTACAGTGAATGCCTAATAAAATAACACCAGAACCAAATATTCTAATTATTCTTTTCTTCTCCCACTTTCTTCAACTAGTTCCCTCTCCCATCGGGAACTGCAGGCTGAGAGTGTGAGATGAAAAGGAACTCCCTGTTTTTTTTTTTTTTCAATGATATTAACTTAATAAAAAATGGTCTGGCTTTTCTTCTTCACCTCTCGCTCTCTACATGATTTTCAACACCAACTTGGATCGTTTTCCAATTGCCAAATTCCTCAAACCAAACATTAATAGCCTCTTTTGCATTTAGGGATTGTTATGCCTTTGAAGTTTTTTGGTATTTAGAATAGTAAAAAAAATTGATAAATGAGATGTCGTAAAGCAGCATGGGCGAAAATTAATGTTTGGAATAATAATATCCTAGAGAGAAAAGGTAATGATATTTTAAAAAAATTACAGCTTATGAGTATTTTTTTTTATAAAAAAGAATTAAAATGTAATTTTACATTAATGGTTTTAATAGGATGAAATATTATTGATATATGTATGAATAAGAGATAAATATTTCTTACACAAATATTAATATTGATGGAAATATGGTGGGCTTTCAATGGACTTTTATACATAATATCTTACACAACATTAATGTTGATGAAAATATGTTAGATACTTATAAAACTTTTATACATTATTCCTTATACAATATTAATGTTGATGAAAATATGGTAGGCCTATCAAGAACTTTTATACAACTAATAGTATACAGAGAGTAAGATTCAAAATATAGTTGAGCTCATGGTGATTGAGTTATTCTTATAAGTTCGGCCATGAGAGATAAACGTTTCTTTTAGATCGAACTCGTAAGAGTCAGACTCTTCTCCCAGGCTAAGCTTATGATTATTTATTCTTTTAAAAGGCTAAGCCTATAAGGGTTAGACACTTCTCCTAAGCTGAGCAAATAAGAGTTGGGCTTTCTTTTAATTTGAGCCTATAAGAGCTAGGTTTTTTTTTGCTAGGTTGCGCCTTTAAGGGTTGAGCTCTTCCCCAAGGTTAGGGCTACGCCTAGACATGTTGCTTGAGATGATAAGCTTTTAGGACTTCAAGGTGGGGTTAGACCTGTTAAATTTAGGTTTATTAATAAAATAATACATTGCAAAAAATATTTAGAAAAATAGCACGCTTTAGAAAGTCGTAGATTTCATTTGTGACTCATGAGTCCCAAATGTCATTTGTGACTCTCTTAAGTTGCAAAATTATTGGACACAAGATTCAATAAAAAGAAAGGAGAAAGAAAAAAATAAAAAGATTCTAGAGGCATATTAATACTTCGATGACGACGCAACTGGTATCTTTGAAAAGATCTCAATGGTACGAGTTCAACAATACCAGAAAAATTCATAAAAAAATTATTGGAGTTGGCCACACGAGTTGTCCAAAAGCAAGTGAGCTCTAACACCTTTAGATGATTCATGTGGTTTACTTCGTTCACTGTTTGTGACTTTTTTTAGTGCCATTGAATTTGTCTTATCGAGATCTTTTTTAAAAGTATTAGTGATGTTATCATCAAAGCTCGGTGTGCCTCTAGAGTTATTTTATTTTCTCTCTCTTATTTCTCCATAAATTAGAAGAGAAGAGAGGAGAGAGGAGAGAGAAAAGAGAAAAAACAAACATAGAGAAAAAAATAACATTGAAGGCACATCGAAGCTATAATGAAGACACCACCATTACTTTTGGAAAGATCTCAACAAGATGAATTTAACAACATAAAAAAAAATCACAAATAATGAATAGAGTAAGCCACACAAGTCATTTAAAAGTGTCAGGGCTCATTTGTCTTTGTGGCCTGCTATGGTAACAATTGGTGACTTTTCTTAGTATTATTGGATTCATCTCATTTCGATCTTTCTAACAATATTAGTAATGTCGTCATTGGAGTTTTGAAATGTGTCTAATGTTTTTTTTTTCTTTCCTCTTTTTTATTGAATTTTGT